TGTAAATGACATAGATAAAGATAATATCTATAGTAAAAAAAATAAAGCTTGGAAATGGGATAGTGAATGCTAAGGGAATTGCAATTTCAAATAGAATGGTTTGGAAAGGTCTTACTAAGAAGGAAATACTTGAGAAAAGACTGGAAGGGAAAATAGTCAGATTTGAAGACATTTGGGCAAACAGCATTATAAGCTGAGAATACAATAAATCGATATAAGCTTGTTATATTCAAGGAGCAGCAAGCAGGCCAGTGTGATAAGGCGGAGAGTAGCAGATAAGGTCAAAGAGCTCATGAGGGGACAGATTATATCAGGCATTGGAGAGCCTTGTAAGAATTTTGGTTATTACTGTCAGTGAGATTGGAAGGCAATAGTAGAGTTTGAACAGAGAGGTGACATGATCTGATTTACATTTAAATGAAATCATGAGAGGTGCTGAATGGAGAGTAGGATGCAAGGGTTCAAGGAAGGAAGTGAAGAAACTAGCTGAGGAGCTATTGGGATAATCCAGGTAAGAGATGATGATGACTTGATCTATTCTAGGGCGATAACAGTGGTGATGACAAATTGCTGGATCCTAGATATATTTTAAAGGTGAAGCTGGAAGGATTGGATAATAGATTTGATGTGAGAAATAGAGGCAGGAGCCTAGGCTAACGAAAGTATTTTAGCTTGAGAAACTAGAAGATCATTTACTAAGATAAAACTATAGAGGCCGGGCGCTGTGGCTCACGCCTGTAATCCTAGCTCTTGGGAGGCCGAGGCGGGCAGATTGCTCAAGGTCAGGAGTTCAAAACCAGCCTGAGCAAGAGCGAGACCCCGTCTCTACTATAAACAGAAAGAAATTAATTGGCCAACTGATATATATATATATATAAAATTAGCCGGGCATAGTGGCACATGCCTGTAGTCCCAGCTACTCGGGAGGCTGAGGCAGAAGGATCACTCGAGCCCAGGAGTTTGAGGTTGCTGTGAGCTAGGCTGACGCCACGGCACTCACTCTAGCCTGGAAAAAAAAAAAAAAAAAAAAAAACTATAGAATGAGCAAGTTTTAGGGAGTAGATCAAGAGTTTGTTCATTGCTGTGCTAAATCATCGAGAGTCGATGATAAAGAGAAACATTTGTTTATTGTCAGTAACTATATGTCATTTATAGCAGTTAACATGAGAATTCTAAGGAAATCCCTTAGGGTAAGAGTAAACTACAATAACTGGGGCAGAGCCTTCCCAGTCCATAGACCCTTTGCACATTTTTTAATTGGGGTTGTTTTCATGTTAAGTTTTGAAACTTCTCTATATATTCTGGAAACAAGTCCTTTGTCTGATATATGATTTGTAACTATTTTCTCCGAATCTGTGCCTTGTCTTTTTTAATAGTGTTCCTTGAATAGGATCAGTTTTAGTTTTCTATTAAGTCTGATATATCAATGTGTTCTTTTATAGATTGTCCTTTTGGTCTCATGTCTAAGAACTCCTTGTCTAATCCCGTAGGGCAGGGGTCCTCAAACTTTTCAAACAGGGGGCCAATTCACTATCCCTCAGACCGTTGGAGGGCCGGGCTATAGTTTAAAAAAAAACTATGAACAAATTCCTATGCATACTTCACATATCTTATTTCGAAGTAAAAAAAGCAAACGGGCAAAAACACCCTCATTTGGCCCGCAGGCCGTAGTTTGAGGACACCTGGTATAGGGGATGGGCCTAGAAGAAAGGATGGATGGATGGATGGATAGATGGATGGATGGAAAGAACATGAGCAAGGTGAATGAATGGTCAGGTGAAAATGCCTGCCGAAGCTGCTTGTTTGCTGTGTAAAAAAGTCAGTTGAAAACAGCTGACCTGTATGGAAGTTGTTAAAGAAATTAGCAAACAGCCCTGACTCTTTTTGCACATGTCCTTGGGAATAAATATGGGGAGGAAGTTAGCTGAGGAGGCTGTTTTCTCCTTTAGGTTTTGGTCTTTCCGCTTCTCTCTAAAAACTCTGTTTCAAGTGATTATTCATTTCTTCACTACGGAGCTCAGGAGCAAAAAAGCAGCCGCAGCATAATCTCAGGTCATTATGATTTTTTCCTATATTTTCTTTAAAAAATGTTACTGTGTTTTAAATTTAGATCTATAATACATTTTGAGGTAATTTTTGTATAAGTTAGGAGATTTGTCAAGGTTTTTAGATGTGGATTATCAGTTGCAACCTTATTTGTTAGATCATTCTTCATTGAATTGATTTTGCATCTTTGTTAAAAATCAAATGGCTATATTTGTGTGAGTCTCTTTTTGGGCTCTGTTCTTTTCCATTAATATATCTTTCTTTCTCTTCACCTAACATACTGTCTTGACTACTTAGGGTTTCTCAACCTCAGCACCATTGATATTTGGGGCTGGATAATTCCTCATTGTTGTGAGCTATTTTGTGCTTGTCGCATATTTAGCAGCATTCCTGATCTCTACCTTGTGGATGCCAATTGTACCTTTCCAGTTGTGACAACCAAAAACTTTCCCAAAGAGAACAAAATCACCGATTGAGAAACACTGTGTTAGAGCTTTAAAAATATTAAACATAGTCCAGTTCCTCTTTAGATAGTTCCAACATCTGTTTCATATCTGAGTCTGTTTGTTGTTGCTTTTTTGTGTCTTGGGTGTGTCTTGATTACCTTTTCATATATACCTTGTGATTTGCAATTGTTGTTGTTAAGAACCAGACATGTTGTTTAGGATAGTAGTGCACAGAAAAGAGTTAATGTAGCAGGCCTGAGACTATTTATCTTTAGAAAGTACTGCTTGCTTATGAGATTAGTCTGTAGCTTGCATGTAGAACTTAGATTTCAGACGGGTTTTTGTGGTCCTAACTGATAAGAGTGGCTCACTCTGCCTAAACTACTTATGCAAACAATATGGTTCATGCTAACCATGTGCTTTTCTTCTGGGAGTCTGAAATTCTGGTGACCAGCCCCCAATAAAAACACAAGGCACTGAGTCTCTAATAAACTTCCCTGGTTGGTAATATCTCACATGTGTTGTTACAGTTGATTGCAGGAAGAATTAAAGTCTCATATGACTCTATTGGGAAAGGACCCCTGAAGTGTGTACCTGGTTTTCCCTGGACTTTGCCCCATGTGCCCTTTCTCTTTACTGATTTTTGCTTTGTATCACTTCACTGTGAGCCTCCCAGTGAATCATCAAAACTTTGGGGTTTAGGGGTTAGTCTTGGGATGTTCTCACACAGTAGTATCTGAAGAAATAATTTTTATGACTGCATGGGCATACCTTTCCTTCTGCAAGGCCTTCAGTATGGTGTTTTGAGTTAATCCAGTTGTGTTAACAACTAAGCAAGACAGAAGATTTCTACAATCTGATTGCATTCATGTACATTTCAAAAATAGATTAAAACTATTACAAAGCTAAGATGTTAATACCCTAAGTCAGGACAGTGGTCAGTTGAGGATGGGGCTGGGGGTCAGAAATGATCACATAATAAGCCTCATTTGAAACCGAAAAAAAAAAAAAAAAAGAAATGATCACATAGAAGGGACATTTTTGTCTTGAGATACCAACAAGTTACTGTTCCTATGTTTGTGTGGCGTTATACTGAACTTACACATTTATGCACTTCAAGTATCTTCTATTTCACGATGAAAAAGGGGAAAAATGTTTAAATTACCCAATGAGTTTGAAATACTGAAAAATTACTCTTGTCAGGAAGTTTACATACAGATCTACATGATGTACACGTAGGAAAGGAAGCAAATGAAAAAAGCTCCAAAGTATGTACTTCAACAAAAAGAATGTTATGAATAATATTTATAAAATAATATAATCATGGGCTGGGTGCGGTGGCTCACGCCTGTAATCCCGAGGACAGGAATTTGAGACCAGCCTGAGCAAAGAGCGAGACCCCTGTCTCTACTAAAATAATAGAAAGAAATTAGCTGGACAACTAAAAGTATATATAAAAAAATTACCAGAGCATAGTGGTGCATGCCTGTAGTCCCAGCTACTGGGGAGGCTGAGGCAGGAGGATTGCTTGAGCCCAGGAGACTGAGGTTGCTGTGAGCTAGGCTGACGCCAGGGCACTCTAGTCCAGGCAACAGAGTGAGAGCTGTCTCAAAAAAAAAAAAAAAAAGAAATCATAATAATCAACATTAATTTAAATCAACCCCTTTAAGAGTAATTGGAGGATGGGAATAAGGTATTTGTGTGCCCATATGAGGGATACTATACCCTGGTTCAAAGTGGAATTCTCATGGATTCTTAGGCGGAGGGTGGGAAGGGGAACAGAGTTGTGTCCCACGTAGACCCTTTTGCCTTTCATTCTGCCCCAAGCCGGTTCTTGTGGGATAAGAGCTTTCCACCCAGCCAGGCAGAGGCTCTGGCAGAGTCAGTCCAGACTCGCCACTCGTTTGGCACAGTCTTACATGACTTCCTTGCCACACCATGTCTGTCAGAGGCTCACACTGGGAGTTCTGCCTGAGAAGAATTGCACCATCCCACTGAGGCACGACTATGGCTGTCCGGGCTCTGGACTACAGTTCCCAGGGGCCGTCGCGTCCAAACCTGCCTACAGTCTAAAGACGGCGTTGGTTTGTTGTCCTCCTTCCGGGCGCTGCGCGGGTTTGCAGAGGAAGAGCAGCGCGGAGGCCTCAGCTGAATCGTTCAACGCGGCCTGGAGTTCTTTCAAGCTCTCGGCCACAAACGTGAGCGGTGTGTGGGCGACAGTCTTTGCCCAGCGAGGGAGTGGGGGCTCCAAGGCCAAGGCCTGTCAGTTGGGGTTCTGGGCTGGTTAACTGCGGTCCGGGCTCCGGACTACATTTCCCAGAGTGCAGCGAACCCCGGACCACTTCCGGTCAGCGCCTGGCCCTTCCGGGACGATGGCGGAATCGCGCGCGAGTCTCTGCAGAGCATCCCACGGTTTGGGGGGCCGCGAGGCCGGCGAGTGAGTGCGCTACCTGGAAGCAGGAGGACCCCGGAGGGGCGGAGGCCAGGGGTGAGGGGAGTACGGGGGTGGCGTTTTTGGAGTCGCGAGGGGAAAGGTGGTGGCGGCGTGCTGTTCGTGCGAGCTCGGTGGGAGCCGCAGGGGTGTGTGCGTGTAGGCGCGTGCCCGGGTGACGGGACCTGGGTGTGACTGTAGTGGACCGTTTAAAGGCGACTGTATGTACGTGATTGTGACTGCGTCGCTATGTGCGTGGTAATGTGTGTAATAAACGTGGTGGGAGCAGCAGCTGTGGGGTCAGAAACAAAGAATTGTGCGTTGCGTTTAGTTACAGGCAAAGTCATTCGTGAATGTGTGGAGAGCAGTTTCTGTGGTGGCCGGTACCTTAATTCAAGTGGGGGTAATGTAGGATGGAGTAGGAGCCAGTGTAGACAAAATATTTCAAGAGTGGCTTTGTAAATGGGAGCAGAGAAATGGAGCCGCAGCTGGGAGGAAGGGGGGAGAATTACAACCCATCAGGGAACTGTTGAGGATGAGCAACGAGAGTGGGGGAAGGTCCAGGAAAGGGTGAGTAAACCAGGGTCGCCTGTGTGGGTAAAACTGCAAGCCTTACAAAAGGGGGTTGTAGCTCTGCAGGGCGTGAACTGTTGAGCTCTAGATTTCAAAAAACAAGGGGAAATAGCCTGGTTTGTCGATGTCAGCAACAGCGAGGTGTGGTGAGTTATGTATAATCTCACGGATGAGCTTCAAACTGGTTTTGGAGGGGAGGGAGGAAGAAAAGTCTGACTGTAATAAGAACAAGCAGGCTACCTGCCCCATTACCAGACCTAGTGGTCAGAGGCTGTGTGGAGGGGAACATTGAGAGAGCTGCAGGATCCTCTGGTTAGAGGCAGATTTCAGGTAGACTGATGGGGAGTGTTCAAGGAAGTGACTGAAGATAAAAGAGGAGTTGGTGGTTAATGAATTAGGAATTCCAGAAGGTGTACTGGAAAAGTGTCAAGAGTTGGCGAGAAATGAGAAAAAGGGACAGATGGGACCTAATGGTGAGTACAGTGTCTGGAAAGGGAAATGACTAGAGATGCTGGGGCTTCTTATACTAGATAAACATGAATGCAGGTGATATCGACAGTCTGGTTGGATGCAAGACACTTTTGGAGAGGTAGCGTTGACATAGTGAAAGGTGATTTCTTTAGTGTCTCTAAGGGAAGCTGAAGATAAAAGCTTCAACAGTGATTGAGGTAGGCAGAATGATGGCCCTGCTAAGACATCCACTTCCTAATCCCTGGAACTTGTGAATATGTTATCTTCTGTGGCAAAAGGGACTTTGCAGAAGGTATTAAGAACCTTTAAGTGGGGGAGATCCAGTGAGCTCATTATAATCACATGGGTCCTTAAAGTCAGTGAATTTTTCATGTCTAAAGTCAGAGGGAGGTGTGACCACAGAATAATGGTCAGAGAGATGCAGTGTTGCTGGCTAGATAGAGGATGAGGGCCATGAGCCAAACAATATTGGTAGCCTCTAGAAGCTGCAAAACATAAGGAAACAAATTCTACCCTGCAGCCTCCAGAAATGAACACAGCCCTCCTGAAACCTTTATTTTAGCCTAGTGGGACCCATCTCAGACTTCTAACCTACTGAACTGTAAGGTACTAAATCTGTATTACTTTAAGCCAGTACATTTGTGATAATTTCTTAAAGCAAGAGTAGAAAACTAATCCAGTGGTGTGTGTAGTGTCTTAGCCTCATTGCTGTGGAGTAGGCTTGGTCCCTGTGACATAAAGGTAGCTGGATTCCTATTGAATGTTGAAGACTTCAGGTAAAGAATATAAATCCCCTCTTCACCTGTAATATAATTTCCAGTTTTGCTGCATTTTGATATTTTCTAACTTTGGAATTTAATGAATTTTTCTTTATAATCTAACATACAGTCAGGCTTAGTTACTTATTTGTCTTGCACTTGAATTTTTCTCAAGTTGAGAGATGTATTAAAATCCTCTGTTAAATTTTATTTCCCATTATTTCTCCTTTATGAAACTTGTTGCTTTTCTTTAATTTTTTTGTTTTTTTGATACAGAGTCTTGCTTTGTTGCCCAGGCTACAGTGACTGCTGTGGCGTCAGCCTAGCTCACAGCAACCTCAAACTCCTGGGCTCAAGCAGTCCTCCTGCCTCAGCCTCCTGAGTAGCTGGGACTACAGGCATGTGCCACCATGCCTGGCTAATTTTTTCTGTATATATTAGTTGGCCAATTAATTTCTTTCTATTTATAGTAGAGACGGGGTCTCACTCTTGCTCAGGCTGGTTTCGAACTCCTGACCTCGAGCAATCTGCCCACCACAGCCTCCCAGAGTGCTAGGATTACTAAATAGTATTCTAATGCATGAATATACCAACTGTATTTGTTCATTCTACTGTTGATAGACATTTGCATTGTTTCCAGGTTTGGGCTCTTGTGAATAATGATGCTGTGAGCATTCTTGTCTTGTCATTTTGTGTTCATATGTATGCATTTCTGTTGGGTATATTCCTAGGAGAGGAATCAGTGGGCCACAGAGTATGTGAATCATCTTAAGGAGATACTGTCCATTTTCCAAAATGGCTGAACCAGTTAGTACTCCTGTCAACAGTTTATGTAAGTTCCAATTATTCCAACTTCTTATTAACACATGGTATTGTCAGACTGTAAAATTTTTGCCAGTATGATGGATATGTAGTGGTATTGCATTGTGATTTTTCCTAATGCAGTTGAGTGCCTTTGTTTTAATGTCCATTTGGATATCTTCCTTTGGGAAATGCCAGGTCAAGTCCTTAGACTAGTTTTCGGGGAATTTGTCCGTTTTTTTTTTTATTGATTCTTAGTTGTTCTTTATGTGGTTGGGATGTCAGTCCTTTGTCATCTGTGTGTATTACAGATATCATCTCCTAGTCCATGGTTTGCACTTTCACTCATTCTCTTCTGGTAAACTAAAATTGCATTATATAGTCTGATTTATTATTTTTTCCCCTTATGGTTTATAATCTTGTTCAGGAAATCTTTGCCTTTCCCAAAGGTATAAAGATATTCTGTATTTTCTTCTAGATTTATTATTTTCACATGTAGATGTACAAACCTGGGATTTTATATATATATGTGTGTGTGTGTATATATATATATATTTTTTTTTTGAGGATAAATCTTGATATGTTTTCTCCTTATAGATACTAAAGTGACCTAGAACCATTTATTGAAAAGACCATCCTTTGTCCCAGGTAATTTCTTCCATCTGAAATCTACCTTGTCTGATACTAATGTAGCCACTTGAGCATTTATATTGATTATGATTAACATGGTATGTCTTTTGCCATCCTTTTACTTTTAACCTTCCTTTACCACTATACTGGGGAGGAACTGACATCTTGAAAATAGCTTTTCATCCAATGAATGTGATAAATTCCTTCATTTGTTTAGGTCTTCTTTAATTTCAGTGTAATTTGTAATATATAAAGGCCTTGTACATAACATTACGTTTATTGGTATTTGAATTTTCTGCTATTGTAAATGTTGAAATCTAACTTTTAATTTCCTACTTTTTAATTGTATATTAAAATGTAGTTAACATTTGTGCCCTGAGTTTACATTTGTACTCCTAAAAATTCCTAAATTTCTCCCCTGTGCCCTGCTTTAAAAGGTGACATCTTTTTTCTCCCGTTAATTACAGATGAGACAATCAGCAAGCCTGTTCTCTTATTTTCCATTCCCTAACCTTTATCCTCATATTAGTTATCTATTGCTGTGAAACAAATTACCCAAAATAGTAATATTTATTATCTTACACCTTTTTTGTGGATCATGCATTTAGGATTGGCTTAGCAGGAAGGATCTGAGTCATGGTCTCATTAGGTTGCAGTCAAACTTTTGGCCAGGTTTGTAGTCATCTGAGGCATAACAGGGACTAAAGGATCACCTTCCAAGATGCCCGTCACATGGCTGTTGGCAATAGACCTTGGTTCCTCACCATGTAGACCTCTCCACTGGACTGCTTCAGTGTCCTCATGACAAATCATCTGGCTTTCTCCAGAGTAAAAGGACAGCAAGAGTGTATATGGTGGAAGCCACATGACTTTTATGATCTATCCTCATATTTGATCATTTCCACAATATCTTTTTGGTACCCAGGTCAGCCCTATTCAGTATAGGAGGCAGCTACATAATAATATTGTGAATACCAAGTACTAGGTACTGTTGGGGACCATCTAGGATGCTGGTTACCATAATCCCCATCTTACTTTTTTATATAGATTTGCATTAAAATATGTTCAGCATCACTGCTGTCCTTTGCTGAAATTCTCTATTGTCTCTTTTGTGAGAATATATCCTCTAGTAGTTTCTTCAGAAAGTACTCGTGTGGCGTCTCAAGCCTGTAATCCTAGCACTCTGGGAGGCTGAGGCAAGGGATCACTTGAGGTCAGGAGTTTGAGACTAGCCTGAGCGAGAGTGAGACCCTGTCTTTGCTGAAAATAGAAAGAAATTAGAGGTGGTGCATGCCTGTAGTCCCAGCTACTAGGGAGGCTGAGGCAGGAGGATCACTTGAGCCCAGAAGTTTGAGGTTGCTGTTAGGCTGACGCCATGGCACTATAGCCCAGGCAACAGAGCAAAACTGTCTCAAAAAAAAAAAAAAAGTATTTCTGTGAACAGTATTCCCTAAGTTCTTGCATCATAGCACTCTTTATATCCTTCATACTTGAATGACAGCTTGGCTGTATATAAAGTATTTGACTCCTTCATTCTTCCCCAAGTATATTGGAAAAGTTACCCCACTTACATGGGGTATTGAATTTAGCGGTGGAGAATCTAATGACAACTGAATTTTCTTTTTCTTATAGTTGATATTTTTATCTGGATTCTCTGTGGTTTTAATCTAACAATTTTATTAGGTAATATTTGGGATTGATGACTTTGGGTCATTTTCACTCCATTATGTGTCTTTTCATTATATTTACTTATTTATTTTAGGAAATGTCTCTTGAATGTTAAAACTGTAGTTTTAGATATTCTTTTTCCTTAATTTTGATTTTCTCTTAAGAGGCTCTGCTTATTTGCATATTGGATCTCTCCTCTGACTGTAATTTTCTTTCCAATAATTTTTATCCCTTCTTTGTTACATTTTGGTCACTAATTTCTGTATTCTTTGTTTCATACTATATTTTCTATAGTATTTGTCATGCCTTGTGTTCCTTGTAGTTTGTTTAGAGATGGGGTCTCTCTGTGTTGCTAAAGTTGGCTTCAACCTCAAACTCCTGGGCTCAAGCAATCCTCCATCCTCAGTCTCTCAAGTAGCTGGGGCTAAGGTATGCAGCATCACACCCGGCTAGTTTATTCTTCATTTCTGAAATGGTTTTGCCTATTTTCTCTTTTGTTTTTGAATTCTACTAACTCTCATCTATAGTCTATCCATCACTTTCTCCCCTTTCCTGTTATCACATATTTGTGCATGTGGTCTTGTTTTAGAGCTGCAATTGTATCATGTTTTTTTCATTAATATTGGAATATTGGGTGATAATTTTTTATCTTTGGTGATTTTCAGTGAGTTTTCTCTGTACAGAGGGGAATTTTGTCATACTTTTCATACTTTTATGTAACTATCTTAGACCCAGTGTTTCTTTTTTTTTTTTTTTTGAATGTAATAGATTTTTCTGGACTAGCTGTCACTGGTATTTTCCTGTGAAAAAGGGGAATGGGCCAAGGACAGTTTTGTAGGTTTTGCTGCTCAAGTAATTCCCTCCTCTGTTATTACAGTAGAATACACAGTTTCCTTAAAAATTGGCCCCTTTGAATAGCCATGCTTTGCCATTTAGAACCTAAACTGGTTCAGAAGGACTCCTACTGAAGAACTCATCAGCTATGAGTTCACTTAGTGTCTTCTCTGCTATAAAGACTCCAGGCAAGCCCCCAACTCATTTTATGTAGCCAGCATTACCCACATACTGAAATCAAACAAAGCATATCTTATAATTGGGTTGCAAAAATTGTCAACAAAGTACTAACAAACTGTGTCCAATAATGTATAAAATATTATGCAACATGAGTGAGTAAGATTTATACCAGGAATACAAGGTTGGCTCAACATCTAAAAATCATTCAATATAAGGCTGGGTGTGGCAGCTCACACCTGTAATCCTAGCACTCTGGGAGGCTGAGGCTGGAGGATTGCTTGACCTTGGGGATTCAAGACCAGCCTAAGCAAGAGAGCCCATCTCTACTAAAAATAGAAAAATTAGCCAGATGTGGTGTTGCACACCTGTAGTCCCAGCTTCTCGGGGGATTGAGGCAGAAGGGTGGTTTGAGCCCAGGAGTTTGAGGTTGCAGTGAGCTAGGCTCACACCATAAAACTTTGCTTCCATCTTTGAGTTCCTTTAATGAAAAGGCCATCCTGCTGCTCAGTGTCAATAAAACAGGATGGAGAGAGCTTAGTCTGTTCCCATAAAGGCAAGGCTCAGCTCATCATTCACTCTATAAAATGAGAAATCCTGAAATCCAAAGGTAAGATCCAGTATTCAAAGTGAACAAGTTTTTGGTCCAGAAAACCTATGTCACAACTTAATATCTGAATTTGAGGGTGACCAATTCCTGATCTTTTAAGTGAGGCTAATACTGACTTTCACAGGTGATGTGAGGATAAAGGTTAATATGATATGAACTGATCATTGATGAATCTGAGGAAAGAGAACATGAATATTTATAATGCAGTTATATCTACTTTTATGTATATTTAAAATTTTCCATATTTCTAAGTAAAAAAAAAAAAACCCACCCCACAAAGTACCCAGAACATAATACTGGTCAATCAGTATTTTTGTTGTTGTCACTCTAGAGTGGTAATAAATTATCAGAAGCATATTCTCCCTTTCTCCAAGGCTTTATGTTGAATGAGGAGGCTAAGCATGATGCATTAAATCAGCAAAACCAGAGAGTGCCAGGCGTGGAGGATAATGGTAATTGATAGTCTGGCTGGGCCAAAGACTGTGTGCCCAGGCCTGTTAGTGCTACAGTGAAGACAGCTTAGTCTGTGTGTGCCAGTCATCTCAATGTCTGGTGAATCTAGTCAGTTACTGTGGCTTCAATATTGCCTTTAGTTTTGTGGTGTGGCCCCTCTTGGATGCTTTGGATAAAAATGAGTCAGTAGGTATCATAGACGGTGTCAGACTTGTAGGAAAGGAAAGACACTGTCATGGGAAGTATACAGGAGGGCCCTGGGCAAATACACTGGGCCCATGTGGGAGTATTCCATTGGTCTTGGCATGTCCCTAGGTATGTCCAATGGTGCCTAAATGGTTTTAAGGAACATTTAAGGCAAGTCCCAATAGCCTTACCTCATATCCAGATCCACGTCATGATTTTGGCATTACTAATTGGACTGAATGAAACTCCATCTTGCTTTGGTTGAGTTGCTTAGGTTTTGGATAGAGCCAAGATTTCTTTAGACTTCTCCTTACCTTCCTCCAAGAGAGAAAATGACATTTCCATTTGTCCATTTGAAAGCTCTGAGAAAAGCCTGACCTCTCATGATTCTTTCCCTCTAGTTCTGCTTTCCCAGCACACTGCTACAAGAAAGAGAAGAATCCAGCAGAAGACTGGTTGACTCTTGGAATTTTAAGTCATGGCCCGTGTGAGTTGGAATTGCTTCTCCCCAAAAATATAACTCATTTATCATATGAATAATTTTATTGCTTAAACTGCTTACCTGAGTCACTATTCAATGGGATATGTGGTGGTTTTGAAACAGTCCAATGCCTTCCCTAGATGTCCCTCTTTTTTCCAACAATATTCCCAAATCTATCCAACAGGGCATTGAGTATCTACTGTGTCATCTGGCAGAGTACTGAAGGAGGAGAAATACTTTTAAAGGGAAGAATAGAGACTTTCCATTTCAAAACCGTGGCTTAACAAGGTAGAACTGAGTGGTTAAAGGGGACACATTACATGAAGGCTTTTATTTACTCCATAGAATGGAGTGTTTCAATTAGATGGGAGTTGGTGTTGGTTAGTATTCACTTCAGCATGTGGCACTTGGTTTTTTACTTGGAGGATATGATGGGAGGTTGAGTTCACAGGGATCTGGGATCTTAACAGGAAATTAATGAGAAATTAGTATCATGAATGAAACATTTGCTGATTGTCAGTCGCTTAGCAGAAAGCCTAGAAATCCTACATTTTTTTTCACAGAAAATAGTATTAGGGAGTGTATCTCCTAAGAATTCTCTCAATTTAAACTAATAGAAAATTCAACCAAAAATAGTAGCTTAAGCAAGAAATAAACAAAAAACAGCCAACAAAACCCCAACTTTTCTCACATAATAAATCTGGAGTTCTTCTAGGCTGGTGTAGCTGCTCAGTGGTATCAACAAAAACTTGTATCATGGCCATTATTCTGGTCTTCCATCCTAATGTCTTGATGTTTGTTATTTGAAGGACCAAAGATATGGTGACTGAGCAACAGAAGTTTGTAAGAGCATGTAGGCACTCAGCTTTAGGCACAGTTATTCCTAAGTTATTTCCCCCAAGCCACAGGCAGCCAAACTCAGTTTTTTTCCTTAGTGTATGTCCCACTACATGCAGTGCTCTTTTCTATCTTTTCCCCTCCATCTAAAAGATTTCTTTCAATTTATCTATTAATAGTTGGATTTGTCCTTTCAGCAGTTGATAATGCTCAGGGATGTGGCTATAGATTTCTCTCAGGAGGAATGGGAGTGCCTCGACCTGAAACAGAGGGATTTGTACAGAGATGTGATGTTGGAGAACTACTGCAACATGGTCTCACTGGGTAAGATTCAGAACTTGACCTTAGAAATTCCTGCTTTTTATATTATGAATTTTTGGATTATCTTTCAAATATCTAGGGGAATTTCTTTTTTTTCTTTTCCAATCTCCAAATTCTTGTACTACTCTAGGAGAATTTCTGACTTTTGTTTCCTGGAAAATGGTTTATGCTTTTTACAGTAATCATAATCAGTCGACACCTCCATCTTCCCCATCCTATAGAAATTCTTTATCCCTGTTTCTCGTCATTCCTGTAATTGTCTCTCTTTCTTACTAAAAAAGGGACTAGATGCGAATTATGGAACCCTTACCATGTGGTTCTTTCCTGTTTCTTATTTTCTGGGCAGGACTTTGCATTTATCAGCCAGATGTGTTCTCTTCACTGGAGAAAGGGAAAGAGCCTTGGAAAATTTTGAGGGATGAGACAGGAGGACCAAGCCCAGGTGAGTGAGAGCTGAACAGACGAAGGGAGGCCATCATTGCAGATAACAGCCCAGCTGCTTAGTGGGGCAGCAACACCTCTGAAATATTGTTCTGGAATACCACAAAGGCCTTTGATAAAGGCCTGAGACCTAGGGACAAAACCTCTTCCAAAAGAAGCTTCTTTTCACTCCCAATACCACTCTAGTTTTGTGCTCTCATTTTTCCCTCATCTAACAAAAAGTTAATTGCCATTTTCTTCCTCCAGTAGTCATTATTTAATCTATGCTTTGGATCAGGTTCCTTCCCATTTCTTTTTTGTTGTTCATTTAGATAGATATTTGTAAATTTCATTTCAATTTAAAAAAAAAAAGCAGCAGCATTTTTTGACCTTTTAAAAAATTTTACCTCAACCCGGGCGTGGTGGTTCACCCCTGTAATCCTAGCACTTTAGGAGGCTGAGGCAAGAGGATTACTTGAGGCCAGGATTTCAAGACCAACCCAAGCAAGAGTGACATCCCGTCTCTACAGGAAAATTACCTGGGTGTGATGGCATGTTCCTGTGGTCCCAGCTACTCAGGAATCTGAGTCAGGAGTACTGCTTGAGCCCATGAGTTGGAGCTCGCAGTGAGCTATGGTGCCACCACTGCACTCTAGCCTGGGCAACAGAGTGAGATCCTGTCTCAAAAAAAAAATCCTCTTGGATTTTTCTTATTTTAGTTTCTCTTTGCTTATGCATTTCCTAAATTCATCATTTTCTCATAATGAACATTTATTGACTTTCTAATTTCATTTTAGGTTTAGAAGAGTTAGCAAAGACCATGTAACATATTAAGAAACTTTTTATTTTTTTATGTGACTGAAACATGGCCATAAATTTCTACAAAATAGGTTCTACGTTAAGAGAAGACCTAATATACTGCTTAGCTGAAAATAATCAGGATAATAGTGAAAACAGTTTCTGGCCACAGTGAGGAGGAAGTGTGACAGAAGAAAGGTTAGGGCTAGTGAAGGACAACCAGGAGAGTACAGTAGCAGAAAAGAAAAGCCCTGGCTTGTCTAGTTCCCTATATCCCCCCGTTTTTCCTCTAATGATAATCATCATCTACCAATTGTCCAACACTTACTCTGTGCCAGGTATTTTATAGAAATAACATATTATTTATTCCGAATCCTTTCAACAAACCTCTGAAAAGAGATATTTTACTACTTTTTATCATTGGAAAAATACAAGCTCAGTAATTTTCCCACCACCTAAAAAACAGTTTTAGTAAAGGACTGGAATCTGAAACTATAGTTTCTCATCTTTCCACTGTAGTACTAATACATTACTGCTTATGCTTTACAACCAAACTGGCTTTAAACTCATTCACTGCTAAAGTACAAACATATGATGGTTTCACTGGATCCTAAATACATATAAAAAATGAGTCACAGCTCACGTCAGACCCATTCTTACCTAATGAATTTCTCAAATTATTTTTCTATTTAAACCATCACTCATAATTATCTCCTTTAATTTAAATGCAATATACTCTGTGTTATTGAGTTCCTAGTACTTTGGTAACTCTTGAGCAGATTACTTCCCACATATTAGCCTGATCTATGTCCAAGCATTCCTACTTTTAAGCTCAGAATTATATAAGATATTCAAGTACACAGTACTTGCCAATTTATAGGTATTTTCTGAGATCTTTTCAGTGGCCTTTGGATAGGAGTGGGAGAGAAGATCTCCCACTTAAGGGGTCTGAAAGCATAAAATAAACTGTGCTTTTATAAAATGGATGAGTAATGCTGTAACATCAAGAATAAATAAAAGCACCGTGATTGGGGGATTATGTGACCAAAAAATGACTTAGCTATGCAGTGGGAGAAATAAGAAGGGTGAAGTCCATGTTAATGGAAGAATGCATAAGTAGATATGATCACATGTATTATATTTATCCTTTTTTTTTTTAGTTCAGCATATTATGGGGGTACAAATATTAAGGTTACGTATATTGCCCATGCCCCCCCCTTGAGTCAGAGCTTCAAGCGTGACCGTCCCCCAAATGTTGCACATCTCACTCATTATGTCTGTATATACCCATCCCCTCCCCGACAGCCGATAAATGTTATTCCTATATGTACACTTAGGTGTTGATCCGTTAATACCAATTTATTGGTGAGTACATGTGGTGTTTGTTTCTCCAATCTTGAGATACTTCACTTAGTAGAATGGGTTCCAGCTCTATGCAGGAAAATACAAGAGGTGCTATATCACCATTGTTTCTTAAAGCTGAATAGTACTCCATGGTATACATATACTACATTTTATTAATCCACTCATGTATTGATGGGCACCTGGGTTGTTTCCACACCTTTGCGATTGTGAACTGTGCTGCTATAAACATTCAAGTGCAGGTGTCCCACTTGTAGAGAGAGTGTCATTTGATCTTTTGGGTAGATGCCCAGTAGTGGAATTACTGGATGAAATGGTAGATCTACTTGTATCGCTTTAAGGTATCTCCATATAGCTTTCCACAGAGGTTGAACTAGTTTGTAGTCTCTCATATTTATCTTTGACTAAGCTAGCCTGGATGTATTTTGTCTCATATTTGTACAGAAATAATGTGGAAGACAGTATATGTAATTATTTCAGTAGAGATGGAAAGTATTAGTGAGATATGTGACATTGTTATTACATGTAACATTTGTGCTCCTGGTCCCTGGTTTTTGTAACATCCTTTACTTTATCCTTAGCCCCACCCCCTTTTTGTCTTTTAGTATATTTTTTCCAGAATTATTTTTTTAACGTCTAGCATATGTTAAGGGTTGATTATACCATGCCGAGTGAAATTTATTTCTTGCCCTTTTTAAAGAATGTTTTAAGCCATTCACTTCTTATATACTTTATTTCAAGATTTACTTTCTATATCTTCATTAGAAGTTTTCTTTATTTTTGAACATAAAATAGCATGTTTTAACTTTCTTATATTTCAGATATGCATACCATGTGTCAGACCAAGAAGTTATCACAAAAAAATGGCATTTTTGAGAGAGAATTATCCCAGTGGGAAATAATGGAAATTTGTAAAAACTATAGCCTTGAACATTTATACGTTAGAGGTGATTGGGAAGACAAAGTTCTGTGTGAAACACAACAGGAAAATTGGGCAGAATATTGGAAGCAGGTGGTACTCACCTTTGAAAAAATGCCCACTTTTAACCAGCACACAGCTTTTAATCTACATCAGAGACTTAATATAGGAGAGAAACCAAATGAATATAAAGAATGTGGGAAAGCCATTAGTTCTGACTCAGACCTTACTCAACACACAGGTGAGAAATTCTGTGAAGATAAGGACTGTGGGAACATCGTTCTTCTAGATTCAGAACTTACTCAGTATCAGACAGTTCACACTGTTAAGAAAACATATGAATGTAAAGAATGTGGGAAGGCTTTTAGTTTGCGTTCGAGTCTTACTGGTCATAAGAGAATCCATACGGGTGAGAAACCTTTTATTTGTAAGGAATGTGGGAAGGCCTTTAGATTTCATTCACAACTTAGTGTCCATAAGCGAATTCATACCGGTGAGAAATCTTATAAATGTAAAGAATGTGGGAAGGCTTTTGGTTGTGGCTCAGACCTTACTCGACATCAGAGAATTCACACTGGTGAAAAACCCTATGAATGTAATGAATGTAGAAAGGCCTTTAGTCAGCGATCACATCTTATTAAACATCAAAGAATTCATACTGGTGAAAAACCTTATGAATGTAAGGAGTGTGGGAAAGCTTTTACTCGTGGCTCACACCTAACTCAACATCAAAGAATTCATACTAGTGAGAAATCTCATGAATGTAAGGAATGTGGAAAAGCCTTTATTCGTGGTTCCAATCTTACTCAACATCAGAATGTTCATTTTGGTAGGAAACCCTATAAATGTGAGAAATGTGGAAAAGCCTATATCTGGAGCTCACACCTTGCTCGACATCAGCAAATTCATACCAGTAGGAAACCTTATGAATGTAAGCAATGTGGAAAGACTTTTACTTGGGCTTCATATCTTGCTCAGCATGAGAAAATTCATGAGAGGAAACAGTATGAATGTAAGGCATGTGGAAAAACCTTTCTTCATGGCTCAGAGTTTAATCGGCATCAGAAGGTTCATACTGGTGAAAGAAATTATAAATGTAAGCAATGTGGAAAGACCTTTTTTCGTGGTTCAGAACTTAATCGACATGAGAAAATTCATACTGGAAAGAGACCATATGAATGTGAAGAGTGTGGAAAAGCCTTTCTCTGGAGTTCACAACTTACTCGACATCAGAGAATGCATACAGGTGAGGAACCTTATGCATGTGAAGAATGTGGGAAATCCTTTATCTGGGGCTCACAGCTTACACGACACAGGAAAATTCATACTGATGCAGAATCCTATGAATGCAAGAAAAGTGACCAAATCTTTAGTCACCATTCCCATTTATATTTTACTGAACAGAAAATTCACAATGGTGAGAATTTCTATGAATTGACAGACTATGGAAACACCTTTAATCATGACTCAAACTTTGCTAAACACCAGAATATTTACACTTTTGAGAAATCCTGTGAGTATAAAGATTTTGAGTCAGTATTTTCTCCAAGCTCCCACTTTATTTCACTCTTGTGAAATAATATGCTATAAAGATATGCGAAAGGCTTCATTCATGACCCCATCAACTGTCATTAATTTCTTCTCTTGAGAAACCCCACAAATATAATATTGGAAAGCCTTTTGCCAGGACACAATACATACAACAACAGAGAATTCATAATGCAAATAAAAATCCTGACTGGTATTCAATTATGGAGTATCTGGGTAAAATTGAGATGTGAATTACTTTTAATCTCAAAACATTCTCATCAGGAATATGTTACATAAATAATTTATATTTAATTCATATAGGAAACCTTTCATCCACGCCAAAATCTTACAACACTTTCACAAAAATCCTACCAGAGGCTAATTTTTGTTAGATAATTAATCTAGAAAGAAAAGCCTTGAATTACATCATACAACTTAACTTGGTTTGTCTTGGTCAAAATGCACTACACATTTTCAGGAAAGTAACATATCTGTATCGGCGTGCTTATTCACTTGATTACAAGGGTTGAATGAGTTTGAGATTTAAGCGACTTAATGACAGTATTGGTAATAAGCCATTTTTATGAGAGGAGGACTTTATAAGAGTTACAGACAAATGTCACCTCTATTTGTATCTTACTGAACACCAGAATGTTAATTCTGAAGAAAAACCAGTAAAACAATGTAAGAAAGCCTTGAACCAGTATTAATTTCATTTGCTGCATCTAAAAATTCATACTATAAAGAAAGCCTTGGAAGTTGGGTTATTGAGTGTTTGACAATTTTATTTTTAATAGACATTTGGAAGTGATTTGGCGCTCACAAATGTTTAAAGCTAAATGTCATATAATCCATTTTTTCACCACAGTTAAAATTCAGAGATTAGCAAATATATAGCCAAATGAATTCTGGCCTCTTGAAAGTTTAGCACTATTTATATAAATAATTATTAGATTAAAGAGGAAATACTAAGTGAAATTACAGACTGTTTAGATGTGTATGAGACTCCTATATTTCAAATTCTATGAATGTGACCAAAACAGTTAACAGAAATTGCTCTATGTATAAAATCAAGAAGATTGGAGACAGTTTATCACCACTGTATCTCCAGCATTTAGTATCGTGCCTATACTATTGTAGGGTGCCAAATATTTACTGACATAACTCAGCAAGCTAGAATAAGAACAAATGCCCCAAATTGGAAAGGCTTGATGAAAATAAAGCAGAAATCACAGATTAATACAGGATTTTACCAAAATCTGTTTCTTTGAGGAAAACTATTTACTAGGCTTTGTCAATCCCTCTATCATGTTATAATAAAAGAAGAGAAATGAGATATGTTTAAAGGATATATATTTTACAATGATAATGCAAATATGTAAATTATGTTAGACATGATTTTTATTATATAGATGGCTTATTTTCTAGTAAAATGTTATTAAATGATTTTCAAAAATAACCAAAAGTATAAAAAGTAAAAAAAGCTTTTTAAAAATCATGTAAGACTAGATAATTGTACAGGTCACACTCTAAAGAGAATAGAAAATCCTATTGAAAATTACCCAGTTTCTACTTTTAGTTAAAAGACTAACATAATTCTATAATAAAATTATCTTTGAGACAGTCTTGCTCTATTGTCCAGGCTACAGTGCCATGGTGTCACCCTAGCTCACAGTAACCTCAAACTCCTGGGCTCAGGTGATCCTCCTGCCTCAGCTTCCCAATTGCCCGGGACTATAAGCACAAACTACAACAACCCAGCTAATTTTTTTTTTCTACTTTTAGGAGAGACTGGGTCTTGCTCTTGCTCAGGCTCATCTCAAACTCCTGAGCTCAAGCAATCCTCCTGTCTAGGCCTTCTAGAGTGCTAGGATTACAGGTGTGAGCTACCAAGCCCAGCCATTGCAATAAAATTAGATTGAGGTAGCTATTGAATGTCAAATTCCAGAAAAATTTCACTCATGGAGATATGTGAAAAGAACTAGATGACCCCAGTATTTATTTAATCAAAGAATAAAATGGTACTAGGTATTTACCTAGAATGTTTAACATCTGATCTGGATGGATGATGATTTTGAATGAAGAAAATATACTTTATCAGTTCAGTACATTCTTCTAACTGCAGTTCTTGGTGTCTTTTAGTATTCTATTAGTTAAGAAATGGTGAGTATGTATACACACATTTAGCACATTTAAAAGTCACGTTTTTGTCATTTATGAAATTTTACTATTTCTGAGAAAAATAATTTTTTGTTATTATGTTATAATAAATGAGCCATTTTCATTCATGGTGACTAGATTTTTAAGGTGAAAAGTACACTGAGAAAAACATTTAGAAGTTATTTGGTAAAACTCAGTCCATGCATATACAGATAAGTATGGTTCATTCCTTTTTCCTTTGGCCCACATTGCCTTGTTGAGTTTTCTGTCAGTGTGTATAGCTGGTTTTCAAATATCCTTCATGGTGAATTTCTGGGTCTCCATAAATGCCTGAGGTTGATGCCTTTTGAACCCTACTCCACTTATTTATGAATGTTGATAATGTCTTTCCAAGACTGCCTAAATTATCACAAAACAGCTGTTCATTTCTCCCTGACCACCTCTGGTTGGAGGACCCATTCTGCTGACAAACGACTTTTTAATAATTAGTGTTGGTAAAGCTGGATAACGTTTTAAAAAGATAAAATTGGAGTGTAAAACTGAAATTACAAATTAAACGATCTAAAGGTAAAACAAAAAAAAACAACCCTTATGACTACTAGAACAAGGGTGAATTCCTTTACAGCACTGCTATGGGGGAGATCAATCACCATGACTAAAAATGCAATAAAAATGAGAAATGTTCATGTTTTAGTCCTTCAAAAATTGACAAATGAGAGAGATTTGCAACTTAAATGACAGATTGATATACTTAATACATATAAACAATACAAAGTTGAGATAAAGAACTTACAGCCTGATACACAAATGACCAAGAACTGCACAAACCCAGATAGAACCACAAGGAAGAGAGTTTGCCCTAGGCCACACAGCCCAAGCAGAAACAGGAAGATGGTCACCAAGAGGACCGCTAACAGATAACCAGAAAGGACCCCCCACCACCACCACCCTCTCCGCAGTCCATAAGACACATTGCTCCCACTACACGCAAACACTCCCACGGAATCACACACAGTCTTCGCAGCGGACTGCGTGTGCCCACCTGTTTTGCCTCCTGCGAAAAAGCCCCACTGGGAACACACCTGCCCTGCAGGGCACAGGAGCCACAACGTTGAGGGAGACTTAACCACAGCGGTGTAGCAGCAGTGGATCAAATGCTGAGTCCTGGCAGCCCCGATGAGGTTTCTTGCGCCCACTTGGGCCTCCGCCACTCCTGGGCCCATCGCCTCCAACCCCTTGAAAAGCCCGGCAAGAGCTCAGCAGCAAGGCACAGCCACTCCCCCTCCCCAGAGCTCCATAGACAAGGTTACTAGACAATGATGCCAGACCCCAGCACCGTCAACCGCACGCACATGCGCACTTATACAGGCAAGCAGGGTACCCCGGAAACCAGTCTTTGGCAGCCATGCTCCCTCCCATCCCCGGGGAAGCGCAGTTGGGATGCAGCCTGAGCTGGAGGTGGGACCTAACCGTCCTGTGCTCCAGAATCCTTGGAGCCTACCTAGGGGTGGCTTTGCAGTCAAGGCCCAGCTTCAGACTGAGGGTGGAACGCTTGCCCTACCCTTTGGATCTGATTTCCCGTTGGGTGGAGGGGTGAAATGTGGCCAGAGGGCCTGGGCTTGTTGGGGCACCTGGGATTACCAAGAGTCCCGGAGGGAGGTCAGCTGACAATTCACTGATCCTAGTGTCCACTGCCTGCCGCTCTGGGAACTCGGCCTTCCAGGTTTGCCCGGTTCTCAGATGCCAGAGGCTCTGGCTTCTCCCCACCACTGCTCAGCAAAACCGGAAAAAACGACCTAGGAAGTCCAGGGACTGCAAAGGTGACCGCAGCGAGGCCACTGGGGGAAATGGGATCCCAGAAGGGCAGGTGGAGCCAAGCAGGGGTTTCAGAAGCAGCTCTGGGCTATTCCCAGACTGACAGTGACCACAGCTCTGCTCCCAAGGGGCACTGAAAGCCTAACAAAGACAAAGAGAAGCCAAGCATACGTGAGACCACACAGGCCCTGCGCTGGAGTCCCAGGCAAGAGCAAGGAATCTTGCCAGAGGGTGAAAGAGCTCTCTGAGAAGGGAAAACAGCCGCACCTTCAACAATTCGGACCACAACGAGTCCCCGCACCAGCACCCACTCAAACCCTAGTCCCTTCTTCCACGAGAAAGCAGCAGCAGTTAACGGGTCCTGTGGTGCCACCCGGGGCCCACGCCCTTGCCCCCAGGACCACAGTGAGGAAGAGCTTACTCCCAGCCCCCATCAAGGAAGAGCGGGATGGAGATGAAAGGAAACGCCACGTTTCTTCCAAGGCAAAGGCCCGCCACCTTGGGCTACATCTCACCCAATGAGAACCACGCAGCCATAGCAAGGTGGGCATTGTGGCCCGGGGTTCCCCTGCGGACACAGGCACGGAAAGACGCATCTGCCTTAGAAAACGGCAAGCTTAGGCACCAAGAAAACAAGTGTGGGGCAGGGAACCCGCACATGGAAGGGGTCCCCAAGAATGTTGTCCTGGGTGAACTGGGAGAAGGATCCTGTTGATAAGGTGGACGGACCCCAAGGAACAGAAGCCTGGGCCTGTGAAAAAGATTCAGGACAACAAGGGATGGAGGCCCTAGGAGAGCTGGGAGCCCACGCAGGAGAGATCACTCCCCACTGCCACGTGAACGCGGACGAGGGAAGGAGAGCAACACGGGTCAGGTAGCCACGAAGGCCACCGTTTGACTGAAACCTACTGTCCCTCCCCTAGGCTCTGCTTCTCAGTCCTTGGGTTCTAGGGAGAGTAGATGTGACCACCAGAGCAAAAGCGGAATGGAGACAGCCTCACCTTCCTGGACGTCCCTCTGCTCCTGTCCTGCACACCGAGAGCGGGTCCCTTCAGGGGTTTCTGTCCTCAACTGTCACGTGGTCTTTTTCCCTTGGCAAAAGCGGCCCCTCCTGGTGGGGAGGACATTCCTACACCTGCGGGTCCCATCAGCCCCGAACTCACCCGGGCCTTCACAACCCCAGGCAGGAACCACAGGGAAAACAGATTTTCCGAGGCCACACAGCCCACGGGGAAACAGGAAGGGGCTCAGCAGTGGGAAAACGTACAGCTATAGAGAAAGGACACCCCCCACTCCACCTCCTGGATGCACACAGACACACTGCTGCCAACACACACACACACACACACACACACACACACACACACACACACTCCCACCAAATCACACACAGACCCACGGGACACACACGTGGCTCCTGGGCTGCGGTGTTCTGCCCGCTGCGAGGAAGCCCCGCTGGGAGCAGACCCGCCCAGGGCCACACTGGCAGGCCAGCCCCGCAGGGCACAGGGACACATCGTCGGGGAGACTCACATGCCCCGCGGCCGGGCAGGCGTGAGGCGGCGACGGATCCGGCGCTGAGTCCCGGCGGCTCCCGACCGTGTTTCTTGGGCCCGCTCTGCCCTCCGCCGCTCCCGGGCTCCCGCGCACCGTGGCCCCGACTGCTCGAAAGGGCAGGCCATGGCCCAGCAGCGAGGCACGGCCACGGAGGCCTCCTGCTCCCCAAAGGGGCAGGGACACTGTCCCTAGGCAAAGGCGGCGGTCTCTGTGACGCCAGGCGCCAGACACGAGGCGCGCGCATGCGCACTTGCAAGGTCGGCGGCAACCGCGGAAGCCAGGCCTTGGCCGCCATGCCGCCTCGAAGTGTGGTTGGCGTGCAGCCTGAGCTGCGGGTGCGGTATCCGGGAGGGGAAGAAGGCTGAAGCGGGGACGGAGGGTCAGACCCTAACCGTACTGTGCTCCGGACCCCTTCTAGGTAGCTTCCCCGTGGAGGCCCCGCTTCAAGGTGAGGGCAGAAGGCTTGCCCTCCCCTTTAGAGCCAATTTCCGGTTGGATAGTGAGGACAGCTGTGGGCTCAGGTGGGGGAGGGGGTGAAATGTGGCCAGGAGGCCTGGGCTTGTTGGGACACCTCAGGTTAACTGAGTCCCTGAGGGCAGGGGTCAGTTGACAGTTGTCTGATCCTAATGTCCGCTGCCTGCCTCTCTGGGACCAGGGCCTTCCAGGTATTGCCCCGTTCTCAGGTGCCAGGGGGTCTGGCTGTGTCCCCACCACTGCTTAGCAAAGGGGGAAACACCGACCTAGGAAATCCGAGGGACAGCAAAGGTGACCGCAGCTAGGCCACTGGGGGAAATGGGATCCCAGAAGGGCAGATGGAGCGGACCGTACCGTATCATTCATATACCTGTAATTGCGTCATCTTTCTTATTTGCATTCCATGATCAAAACTGCCAAGGACTTGACTGTATTGATATTCTTTTTTAACAAACACCTTATCTACTTTTTTATTATTTATACCAGTACTGACAATAGAAATAGGTAAGCCAAATACATAATTTTAAATTTTCCAGTAGCCACATTTTAAAAACAAAAAATAGTACAATTAATTTTAATGTATTTTATTTGAACCAATATATCCAAAATATTATTTCAATATGTACTCAACATAAAAAAATTGAGATACTTAACATTCTTTTTTTTTTTTGAGACAGAGTCTCACTCTGTTTCCTGGGCTGGAGTGCCATGGCATCAGCCTAGCTCACAGCAACCTGAAACTCCTCGGCTCAAGCAATCCTGCCTCAGCCTCCCTAGTAGCTGGGACTACAGGCATGCGCCACCATGCCCAGCAAATATATATATATATTTATTTTTTTTAGTTGTCCAGCTAATTTCTTTCTATTTTTTTAGTAGAGACAGGGCCTCTCTCTCTTGTTCAGGCTGGTCTGGAACTCCTGTGCTCAAAGGATCCACCTGCCTCGGCCTCCGAGAGTGCTAGGATTACAGGTGTAAGCCACCACGTCCGGCCTAATACTTAACATTCTTATTTTTAGAACTAAGTCTCCAAACATTTAACACCATTTTAATTTGGATAAACCAAATCAGGAGAATCACTTGAGGTCAGGAGTTTGAGACCAGCGTGAGCAAGAGCAAGACCCCATGTCTACAAAAAACGAAAAAATTAGCCAGGCATGGTGGCATGTACCTATAATCCCAGCTACTTGGGAGGCTGAGGCAGTAGGATCACTGGGGCCCAGGAGTTTCAGGTTGCTGTGAGCTATCATGACATCACTGCACTCTAGCCCACATAACACAGCAAGACCCTGTTTCAAAAAATAAAAATAAAAAGTGAACTAGATAATAAAGTTTGGACCCTCAATCTTAACTTCCTGAACACATTATAGTGTATTTAATATCCCAATGTGTAGAGCCTTTGGTAACATAAGTTTTGAAATGTAGACATTTAAAAAAAATCATTCACTTCAAACTGGTTACAATTTCATGGTTAATTTTATGTTTAACCACTTTGGTACGAGCATCGAATTTAGCCAACAGCTGTGATATGACTTTTCTAATTTTTCATTTATCAAAATAAAATTGTGAACATTTAAAAATAACATAATGAAAACATATATGTATATGTTACCTATTCTGATTTACATTACAAGTACAGCTGCCTGTAAAGTAAAACAAGCTTTCAGTGCTTTAAAGCTTTGCTTATCATACAAGAGCAAAATGGATTCTTCGTCAATGCACAGCACAAACTATCATGCGGACTGAGTGCCGGCTGTGGGCAAGTTTTTGTGGCCAGTGAGCGCGGTACCAGAGTGGCTAAAAGAACATTTTGGAAAATTTCAAATACATATAAGTAGAGAAAACAGCAAAAACAAATAAAAGCCATATAGCCAATGTAAGGGTTTTTAGCAGTGGCGAGAAGACAAGACAGAGAGAGAGAAAGAGTGGGGGCCAAAGCATGTGGCTTTATTATACACCCCTGGACGAGGTTCTGGAGTCTCAAGAGAGGGGGACCCCAGAAGTCGCCTCCGTTTGAAGGCGCTGAGGCCTTTCATATCTTTTGGGCCTAGCTAGGGACTTTTGGCGGGAAGAGCTGGGGATTTTCCATTGTGACCTTGGGTGGTCATTGAGAAATAGGAGGGGCTGGCGGTATTTGCGGAACCCAGGAGCCAAAACGTTCTTATCCAGGTGGACATCTGGGTGTGGTTCTTCTCAGCGGGGTCTAGCAGTTTTGTCCTTGGAGGGTCTGGTCTCATGAGCCTTTTCTTTTTTGATCTAGGGAGAGGTGGGGGGCCTGACACCAGCCTTACACCCAAGACTTGTCTTACCGTCATTTTGCCAAATTTAAGTTATCCATCCTCACTTTTCTTTTGCATGAGCAAAAGGAGATTCCAGACATTGTATCTATCATCTAATGTGTATAAACTTTAGAATTTATCTCTAACAAATAGACTGTTACATAAACACAATGGTATTATCACACCTAACCAAATCTCTTTACATTATCTAACACTGCATTATTCCCATTTTCCCAACTGTTGTAAAAATGTCTTTCCTTTATGTGTTTGTTCAACTCAGGATCTAAATAATAACCGCTCTTTCATTGCATTTAATTGATGTCTCTTAAGTCTCTTTTAATATCTAAGGGTTCCACCTCCTTATTTTAAATGCCATCTTATTGGTTTAGAAATAGGGTCATTCCTCCTGTAGAATTTCCCACATTTTAGATTTAATGGTTTCTTGTTATATCATGTAATTTGTCCTTGATCTTTCTCTAAACTGGGAGTTAGATCTTGATGATTAAATTCAGGTTCAATCTTTTTAGCAAGATGTGTATATCTTATTGTATCACATTAGGAGGTGCATAATGTTTTATTGTCCTACTATTTGTAAGATTAAGACTGATCAGTGGGTTCAGATGTTGTCAGACTGATCTAATCACTGTAAAGTTCATGTTAACCTTTCACACTTAATGTTTTTAACCTCTACTGAAAATCATGCCTAGATCCATTATTTCATTATATGTTATAAAATAGTTTTCCTAATATAATTTGCTATTGCTATAATTCTTTCTGCATTGTTTAGCTGGAATTCTCTAATAAAGAACTTTACCTCAACTTCTGGTTGTCCTGAAATACAGTACACACAGGAAATGCAGGCTAAATGACTTTTCTTTCATCAATTTTCAGAATGGGTTCATGCCCTGGCAATCTCCACGCATTAATACACAGATGGAAGAATATAGAGATGATAGTAGCTAAGATCAAAACGTTTTCCACATTCACTCCTTTAATAAAGTTCCTTTCTAGAAAGAATTTTCTAAAATTTAACACAGATTGAATGGTGATGAAAGGCTACTATATATTCATTAAATTAATATATTTTCCATTAAATAAAACTTATTATGCTAAATTAGTTGTGAGCATGAAGAAAAAGGAATTCCTACATTCAAAAAATTTCCTGTAGAATTTATTTTCTACTGCTCCTTACCACGAAGTTCACGATGGACGAGTACTTGTAATCATTCAGTTACATTATGAATTCGCTGATGGTAAGTAAGATGTGAATGTTGTCTAAATGCCTTATTACATTCCTTACATTTGTATGGTTTCTCGCCAGAATGAATTCTCTGATGTTGAATAAGTGATGAATGAAGTCGAAATGCCTTTCCACATTCCTTACAGTCATAGGGTTTTTCACCAGTATGAATACTCTGATGTTGAGTAAGCTGAGAGAGCAATCTAAAAGTCTTCTCACATTCTTTACATTTGTAGGGTTTCTCACCAAAATGAATACTCTGATGTTGAGTAAGTTGTGAGAACAATCTAAAGGCCTTCCCACATTCCTTACATTCATAAGGTTTCTCTCCAATATGAATACCCTGATGTGAAATAAGTTCTGAGTAACGACGAAAGAACTTCTGACATTCTTTACATTCGTAAGGTTTCTCACCCGTATGAATTCTCTGATGGAGAGTTAGATGATATCCACGACTAAAGGTCTTCCCACATTCCTTACAGTCATAGGGCTTCTCACCAGTGTGAATTCTCTGATGGAGAGTAAGTTGTTGCCGCACTCGAAAGGCCTTGCCACACTCCTTACACTCATAGGGTTTTTCACCAGTATGAAGTTTGTGATGTATTCGAAGGCCTGTACTACACAGAAAAGTCTGACCACATTCCTTACACTCATAGCACTTCTCAGCAATGTTCAGTCTCTGATGCCGAGTAAGGTGGGCATATTGTCTGAAGGCCTTCCCACATTCCTTACATTCGTAGGGTTTCTCACCAGTATGAATCCTGTGATGGAGATTAAGTTGTCCCCGTACTCTAAAGGCCTTTCCACATTCCTTACATTGATACGGCTTCTCACCAATGTGAACTCTCTGATGTACTCGAAGGTCTGAACCACATGTAAAGATTTTTCCACATTTTTTACATTCATAGAGTTTGTCAGAAGTATGAATTCTCTGATGTCGACTAAGGTGGGCACACTGTCTAAAGGCTTTTCCACATTCTTTACATTCATATGGTTTCTCACCAGTATGAATTCTTTGATGGAAAGTAAGTTGTTGGCGTACTCTAAAAGCCTTCCCACATTCCCCGCATTCATAGGGTTTCTCTCTATTACGACTTTTCTGATACAGAGTAAGAGACGCGAGTTTTCTATAAATTGGCATTTTTTCGGAGGTGATTTTTGGCACTTGTCTGAAATATACCTCATGAGGACCTTCTTGTCCCTCAAACTTTTTGCACTCACAATCTTTTCTGAAAAGGGAGTCTTCAAGTCCACAGCTTTTAATTCTTTCCATCATCTCCCATTGAGATAAATTCATTTCATAAATATCTTTTTCTTTAAATAACTTTTTAGTGTCATACTTGGATTCCAAATCTGAAAGAAAATAAGATAAACACATGGTATTTTCCTATTCTAGACAAAACAAGCTAGCAAAAAAACCCAAACCAAAACAAAACACCTTTCTTATAGAAAAAAACAACAGAAAATAAAGCCCAGTTGAAGTAAATGGGCTAAAAAAAACCTTTAAAATAGGTAATTTGAAGAATGTTAAAAAGAATAAAGAAAATGATGAATTAAGACCAGATTACTTGGGTGTAGATCAGTTTGAGAACTCCTACTTAAATATTTTAATGTTTTCTCTTTTCAAATAGAATATAGTGCAAACACTTTACTATGGATAACATAGACTGTTTACCATAAGGTATCAACTCAAGCCACTGTCCCCTTTGCTCTTTATGTCCCTATCAAATTTACCTTCTTTCCACTCCTAGAACATGTCATAATCTTTCCATTTCTTAGAGCTTTTAACTGGCTATTAATTCTCCCAGGAATCCTGATTTGGGTTTGCATGACTGGGTTCCTTTCATCTATAAGGTATTATCTTAAAAATCAGAAAAACTATCCTTGCTAACATCATCTAACTTATATCCTTTATATTTCCTTCCCACTTACTCCTTGCTTCTTAATACTTTTATCAATTTTGTTGTTACTCATTCATTTCTCCATTTATTATTCTCCTTATTTTCTTACCTTAAGCTTCCCCAACGGTAGAAACAATTTTTCACTCAACAATGAATAACAAACCCATAATACACAGCAACTGTTAATTATTAAATCTCTATCATTAATTAACAATTATTGAATATGCTGTCCTGCCTCCAATATCATATCTGACTACATTGATTAAATATTATCTCCATTTCCTATAGAGATGGGGAACAAGCACATCTAAGATATCTCACAGTAAAATATATCAATGGAAAGGGGTGATTTCTTTACACTTGACTATGTGACGAAGTTCACAATGGAAGAATACTTGTGATTATTCAGTTACATTATGAATTCGATGATGGTAAGTAAGGTGTGAATGTTGTCTAAATGCCTTCTTATATTCCTTACATTTGTATGGTTTCTTGCCAGAATAAATTCTCTGATGTTGAATAAGTGATGAAGTCGAAATGCCTTTCCACATTCCTTACAGTCATAGGGTTTTTCACCAGTATGAATACTCTGATGTTGAGTAAGTTGTTTAAACTTATTTTCACCATTGCCTCACCTCCCATTTTTTTTTCTCTCAAATGGTCCCATCTTTGACCGACTGGAGCCTCTTCAAATGGGCTACTCTTCCCTGACCACCCTATCTAAAATTAACCCATTCACTCATTATAATTTTCCATATCCTTATTCACATTTCTTCCTAACATTTAATCACTTCAGGATATTTAGGAATCCATTTGTTTGTTTATTTTCTTACTGTATGACTCACCTACTACACTTTAAACTGCATGAAAAGAGGGCAAGGAAGAAATATATATATAAAATTCAAAATATAAAAGATGAGCTAGAAAGGCATTAGATCCAAAATATAGGTAAAATGGTTATCACTAGGGAAGAAAGCTTTCCCCTATTGAAATGGGAGGAAAATGTGAAAAAGAAGAAACAAGCAGGAAGTGGAAATATAGATGAAATTTCTTTGGTGGCTCATGCTGAGAAGACTGAAGTATTCTTCCCAAGTTTCAGGTCTCTTCTTCATAATCAACATCTAAGGAATGTGTTTCCTCCCCAGCCAGCAGGCCTGGGCCATGCTACAGTGGCTTGCCTCTGCCTGCTCAGCACTTACCTGGGCTCCATCCTCTTTGCTCATCCCTTACAACCATCCAGGGCTCTTTCCCTTCTTCCAACAGAGTAATCACATCGGGCTTAGAAATGGAACAGCCTGCTTAAAAGAAAATAACAGAACATAATAAAGAAAGAGTTTATTTGATCAAGCCTTCAGGATAAAGACAACTATCAGGATTGAAAAATATTCACATTAGAGTTACTTCAGGATTACAAAGAAACACAAGAAAAGAGAGGTAGGCACATGGCCTTTTAAATTTAAACTTATACAGGATCTGTCTTTTGAGGGGAAGTAATAATTGAGAACACTGGTTTCAAATCCTGCCTCTGTCACTTCCATCACTAAAACAAATAATTTAAAAATCTCTCCGTGCCTCAGTTTCCTCAGTTGTAAAAAGGGCTTAATAGTAATGTGTACATCCAGGGATGTTGTGAGGTTTAATAATAAAGTGTTTAGATAAGTGCCTAGTACATGTTAAGCATTACACATGTTTATTAGGTACTATTTTTGCTAACAGGAAAATAATAAGTTTCTTGCCAGGATATTCACCCAATGTTAAATGGGTGAATGTTCACATGTTTTAAACTTTTAATCACAAAACAGTTCAAAGATAATGTGTGTGTTGTAGGAAACAGAATATGTACGTTTCAGTTTCAACAAACTATTGAGTCAACCCAGTATCATATACATTGTTTAGCTCTTTTACTAGGTATATAGAACCAGCACCTCCATTTTCCTACTCTCAATATAGGTGAGTCCACAAATAATATGGACCATCTATAGCCATATAAAACCATATTTCTTTCATAAGTTTTTGGTAAACCTTATATACCTTTCATAAGGTTTGCTGTGTCTAAGAATTTATATCCAGCTATTATTAAAGAGAGGTAATAACAAAAAAGACAAAAAATAACAGAAAAGACAAAGAAAGATGTAAAGGTCATTGAATTATTGGGGAAGATGAAAGTGCTTAATTATTGAGGAAGATGAAGTTGCCTATTGTCAAACTACAAAGCAGATATTCACCTAGTTTTTAGAAAGACAGCCCAGAAATTTAGACTTGTGAATTTCTAAATCATTTGACACAGATAAGCTTACCCAATGACACCAAGTTGCTATAGTTCTCTAATATCACATCTCTGTACAAATTCCTCTGATACGAGTTCAGGCATTCCCACTCTTCCTGAGAAAAGTCTACAGCCACATCTCTGAACATCACCAAATCCTGAAATGATAAACCCATGTATTATTTGTAAGAGTAAAGAAAATATTTTGAACATGGAAGAAGGATCTCAATGATACATGCTCATTTCATATAGCAAATGAATAGGCTGGAGCTGGAGGCCTATGATGTAGGTAGGTGGTAGTAAGGAAATGAGACTGAAGCAGAATATCTACATGTTCTTGAAGATTTCTACTAACAGAGACCAGGGGTTGGCAATTGTTTTAGAATAACAAATGAGAATGTTCACATAACCTAAATTTCAAATACAATTCCAAATAGAGAGAAATATCAACTTACATGAGCCATGATTTCAGGATTTCAAGAACTGGTCAGTTTTCCTCAGGGTTCATACACTGGAGAAGCAGGGTCGACAGAAGCCAGAGCTGGGGGAAGAATGTAAAGCCATGAGAACAGAATTGCCTCAGAGCTTCCAAGGTTTAAAACCTACACTCCTTCTCCATTCCTATATGCAACCCACCTCCCCGACACACAGACAAGTTATGACAGGTAAGAGGTAGTTTAGACAAATATATATCCTCCCCCAAACCACAGAGAAATCAGCTGCATAGATACAAAGCAGAGACTCTTCTGTGTCGAGGCTCATGCCCAGACATTTCAGCCGGAGATTCCAGGTAGTACCATCTCCCACCCCTGGCAGGCTAGTGTGGACCTGAGAATGGTTTGTGCAGACCCATCCTGAGCAGACCTTCCTCCCTTCATTCTCACCTTTCCAGCTGAGAACAGTGAATTTGTGAAACCTGAACATGGATGATTCTCTAGAAAGTAGAAATAACCCATCCACTCACTAGTTAGAATTCACTAGGAACTAAGGAGATGCATATTAAGGGAAATGGATTTGCAGATTTGAAAAATGTATGATACCTCATATTTACTAAGGTTTTGGGGAAACGGATACTCAATTGTATGATTTATAAAGAATGAAATGATGTATGGATAGAAAGTGTTTATAATGGGACAAAAAAATCTGGAAAGAACATAAATTTCCTTCAACAATGTTAAATAAATTATTAGGCATTCACACAATTGAAAACTAAACACTCATTAAAAATGAAGGTAAAATTCTTATTTGACATCATAGAAAGATGGTCACTACACATTGTTTGGGGAAGAAAACAGATTAAAAAATATTATTGTAATGTAATCATATTTTGGCAGGAAAGCTACATATGCATACGTACATGTATATATGCATGTGTATAAAATAATCTGTAAACTGGAATAAAATTTTATTGTGTTACCTCTACTTGATGTTATCCCAGGTGATCTTTATTTTGTTCTCTGGAGTCTCTGAATTTTTTAATTAAAAATTTGTATCACTTATACCTGGACATAAATTAAACATAGCTATGCAAGGAATATTACAAAAAGCCCTAACAGTTCCATCGTTGCTACTCTGCCCCCATCTTCCAAATCCAGAGGCAAAAATTTTCACCTCTTTTGGTATTAAAGTTGGAACATTTTGAATATTTCTGCTTAATAGGTGATTTCTTAAATAATTTACATTTAAATAACATGCAAATATTGCAACTTCTGATTTTTCAGTTTTAATCATTATCTATTCACCTCCTATTATGGAAGGCATAGTTTTAGCTATCTTTAACCCACCATCCTCCCACCCCATATATGTATAGTTGCAGACCCCTTGTCCTTTCAAAATGGTTTTATTCTATTTCAGGGTAGATGACTATTTAAAAGAAATTTTAAAATAAATATTGAGTTTATATTATTGTAAACACCATTACCAACTGTGCTATGCAGTATATGCAGATTATTTTGCCTTCCTTGCATAAGTGTTTTTCTTCTCTGAGATTAAAATAAATCCTATGGCTCATGGTTGTGACTGCAAAAAAAAAAAATAAAAATAAAAAAAATAAAATAAATCCTGTTTTTTGTAAGCTTAGTTTTCTACAAAATTATCATTAATTCATTTCCCAAAATCACTCAATTGAAGGATGAAGCTCCTGGCATAAAATAGCAGAGCTGTTTTCATACTCTAAAAATCAAAAATAATTCTTTAGGAAACCAGCCAAATACTTCAAATACTTGCACCCCACCTGGTAAAAGCCAATGCCACATTCCTAAATCTCTAAAATTCACATGACCTTGAGGTGAAAAATTGGTCAAGTGATAGGAGCCAGAAAAACTCTTCAAGAAATTGAAAAGTTTTGAATATTTCAGCCTAATAAGTGATTTCTTAAATAATTTATAAAACATCCATAAAATGGAATACTATGGTAGGTAATCACTAAATGCTAAATTTTAGAAAACAGTTAAAGGAATGGAAAATATTCAAGATATATTGAAAGAAAAAAATCAGTTTATAAAATATATGATTAGATTGTTTAAATCTTTAAAGTGAAACAGACATCAATGAATGGAAAAATCTCTTAAAATTTCAATTTTGAGATTTTAAAATTAATTTTAAAATCAGAGTTAAATCTCCCAATTTAACTGAAATCTCTATAATCTTAAGAATTGTAAATATTTGGAAGGTTTGTCAAACCAGAAAGGGATTACTGGGATTTCACCTTTCTCCATACATTCATGGAGGTATTATAAAATCCACGAGAGCACTGAGTTCCTCTTTTTAACTAAGAACTAAAGGTCTTGGTTTGTTTTAAATTTTCAATTAGTATTAGTCTTCAGAAATAAAACCATACACAAAAACATATATGCTATAGACATATTTTGGGAAAACATATGCTCTAAAAAATTTTTTTTTTTGAGACAGAGTCTCGCTTTGTTACCCAGGCTAGATTAAGTGTTGTGGCATCAGCCTAGCTCACTGCGACCTCAAACTCCTGGGCTCGAGCAATTCTTCTGCCTCAGCCTCTCGAGTAACTGGGACTACAGGCATGCACCACCATGCCTGGCTGATTTTTTCTATATATATTAGTTGGCCAATTAATTTCTTTCTATTTATAGTAGAGACGGGGTCTCGCTCTTGCTCAGGCTGGTTTTGAACTCCTGACCTTGAGCAATCCGCCCGCCTCAGCCTCCCAGAGTGCTAGGATTACAGGCGTGAGCCGCTGCGCCCGGCTTGCTCTAAAATATTAATAGTGGTTATTTCTGCATGTTGAAACCGTTGATAATTTTAATTTTCTTCTTTATAGATTCCTTAGTTACTAAATATTTCACAAGCCTGCATTAATTCCATATCATCAGAAATATAAGAAAAAAGCTATTCCCATTGAAAAAAATTTTAAATGAGTGGGAGGATAGAGTATCTTATGGTCATCAAGAAAATTGTGATTAAAGAGGCCTGTATAAGTGGTTACAAAAGGGAAATCAGTGTGATTGAAAAAATAATTCCTACTAATACTGGAACATCTCATCTCATCTGTTCATCCTGAGATCCTTCTATGAAGGATCACCATCCTGGTTCACACATTTCCAAAGATACAGTATGCACACCAGACAAAAACAAATGCTTACTGCATAGCAACTGTTTAATAATTTGAGCTTAACCCTCCTTGGCTCCAGCGAATAGTCAATCATTAAATACTTGCATGAATTGTCACAAAATACCTTGCAAACTTTCATCATACCACTCAAGAGTCACATGTGACAACAATTTCTCAAAGATTCCTATTCACAACAATAAATACTCCTCAATATTACATTATATACCTTTTTCCTATAATTATAAACATAATTTTTATTATTGCATAACATTCCATCACATTTCCTTATTGCTGGTACCAATTTGGAAAAGAATATCCCCAAAGTCATTCACAGTTATTTCAGACGTTGATTCTAGAACAGTGAGAATCAATCTTGTTGGAGCTCATACAACTTTGATAATATGACAAAATGATAAAATCCCCATCAAAAACTAACAATTTACAAATATATGTAATTCTGTTTATAATCTTAAGAAACTTTTGTTGTCCTGAAAGCCATAAACAGAGTCCAAAGACCTTATTACTAATCCCTGTTCTGGGCGACTTGAGCAACTTTTCCTGCTTGCAGGATCCATAATTACCTTCACATCTCATTGCCTTTAGGAATACAGAAAGCTGTTAGGAAATGACTAAGTATCATCACTTAATAGCAACAGCTAGTAGTAATTAAGGACTCACTATGTGCCAGGCTTCTCTGGCCCAGAAATAAATTCATGTTATCTCTACAAAACAACTCGATGAAGTATATACACTACTGCAATACTGACTACACATGAGAAAACTTGCAGCACAGAGAGATTGCCCAAACTCATTCGGATTTAAGCAGCAGTAGGGATTCAAACACTCATAATCTAGGTTCAAAATTCTTAACCACTACAGTACCCTACACATCTCTCAGTCTAGCCAAAGATATACTCAATACAAACTCATGCTGCCAAACCTCAAACTTCATCTGGCTGGTTCCAAAATTTTCTATTCATGAATTGCCCTGGAAAAAAAATCCCCACTCCTACTCCAAAATCATTAAAAATATCTAAACCCTAAACTAATCTACTCTTTAACGAATCACAGTTAAAAACAAAGCATGCATGAACATCGACCTCTAGCAGGGGTATTTCCTTACCATCAAAAACCTTAGAAAAACGGTGCTCACAGAGCAACTGAATGGTTAACTAATTGTGTGTCTTAACTGCAGAAATGCATGAAGTGGGCACTAGAAAAGGGAAACTATTAGGTCCCCTGCCTTTAACCAGGAAAAGAAATCCTAAGGCCCAAATCAATGAATAAATAGATCATTCTTAGGCAGGACTTTTAAAGAGAAGGAAATCTCAAATACATTTCACAGAAACAAAGAAGCAACACAAACTCACACGGAACCCCAATTTTAGAGGAGCAGCAGCAATTCGTTCCACCTTCTCAGGGGCCTTCTCTGGAAACCGGCAGGGCTGGGGAAGCAGACAGGGTTCATGACACGCCAGGCTTTTCTTGACACAGTCAGAACCCACCCTCCCCGCTTCTCTGGCCCAGCTAGCTGCCACCTGCATTCATGCACAAGTGGAAACAAGGGGAGATGGGAGAAGGGCCGCGGCCACCCGTGTTTGGGGTTCGCGGCTCTGCGTAGGCTGCAGTTCCACACCTGGGCCGCCCACCCCGCGGGCCCGCACCCTGCGTCGTCCCCGGAACTGTCCAGCGTGTCCTCCTGGCACCCAGAGCCCCGCCCCGAATCTAGGTCCCCGCGTTTTGCAGGGGACCTTCATGCTGGGGCTCCACCTCCGACCTCCCTCTCGGGCCTGTTCTCTGCAGCCGAACCTGGGTGGCTGAGGCGAGGACCGAGGCGCTCGGGGCCTCTCGCTGCACGACGGGCCGCACCCACAAACCGGGCCCGCGCAGTTACTGCCGCACGAGCCTCCAGGCCTCAGGAGCGCAGAGCCTCAGTCCCCGGGAAGACGCGCGGCTGCTGGAGGCTCCGGGCACCTCTGCTCCACCCCCGGCCGGGTCTGCAGAGCCTGGCCCCTCCCGCGCTCGCTGCCCGCGGAGAAGCAGCGGCCGCGTCCGAGCTTGCCTCACCTCACGGCGCTCGGGCCTCACCCTGCCCGGAGGACCCCACGGCGCACCAGACCGCGGCACCGGGACTCGGGAGAGCGCCGGTTCGGTCGAGAGTGCGCATGCGCGCCGGGCGGGGTCGCGGGCCCGGGCTGCGCGGGTCTCCGAGGGCGGGGCGCGCGGGGGCGGGGCCGGCCGGGAGGCCGAGCGGGAAAGCGGGACCCTGTAGGACCCTGTAGGTCCCGCGCCGTCACCCCGAGTCGTCTGGAAATTAGTTTGTGTCCGGAATGCGCATGCGCGCGCGGGGGGGGAACCGGGGCGAACCCGGGGTCCTTCCACGAATGAGGGAGACTTGCGGGGCCGCACCCGCGAAGGGGGTGGGGACGTTTGAGGTGGTAGCGGGAGGTCGGCGCCAGGATCTTGAGTGTGGCCGTCCGAATCTTTAGGCCTGGAAAGATGACCTGGCGGCGATGGGGACGGAAGAAACCCCAGCGTCGCGAGCACGGGCCAAGGCAAGGCGCGTGTGCCCTGACTGGCTCTTGCTAGGTGACGGCCACCGTGCCCCGCGCACCGAGGGGCGACCGCAGACTCTGTTTCCTGCGCGCGTATCGTTCTTCAGGTGGGGGCTGGGGGGCTGTGTTGGTCCCATAGAGAGTCTCAGTGGCGCGATGATGCCGGACACACACCATCTCAGGTACTTCACAAACGGTGACACCTGGTATCAGGGTCCGGCATCATCGCGCCAAGCCGGACCCTGACACCGGGTGTCACCGTTTGTGAAGTGCCTGAGATGGTGTATGTCTGTGAACGTGGCCGTGCCTCGTCGCGTGTTATTTCTGGAATGGCTTTGACATTTTTTTTTAGACAGAGTCTCGCTTTGTTGCCCTGGCTAGAATGAGTGCCGTGGCATCAGCCTAGCTCACGGCAACCTCAAACTCCTGGCTCAAGCGATCCTCCTGCCTCAGCCTCCTGAGTAGCTGGGACTACAGGCATGCGCCACCATGCCCGGCTGTTTTTTTTCTATATTTATTACTTGGCCAATTAATTTCTTTCTATTTATAGTAGAGAAGGGGTCTTGCTCTTGCACAGGCTGGTTTCGAACTCCTGACCTTTAGCGATCCGCCCACCTGGGCATCCCAGAGAACTAGGATTACATGCATGAGCCACCACGCACGGCCTATAATAATACTTTAAAAAAAAAACAAACAAACAAAAAATACCACGTTCTTCTTTCTCCTTGATCCCTTCTAAAAATCTCAATTATTGGTTAAGTCAATGTATGATACTTATATACTAATTACATAAGTATTCTCTTCCGTCCCCTCCCCTGTTTTTAAAAGACAGGGTCTCACTCTGTTGCCCCTGCTGGAGTGCAGTGGTGGGGTCATAGCTAACTATAACTGGCTCAAGTGATCCTCCTGCCTCAGCCTCCCAAGTAGCTAGAACTACAGGCATGTGCCATCACACATGGCTAATTTTTTTATTTGTTTGTAGAAACAGGGGTCTCTCCATGTTGCCCAGGTTGGCCTCAAACTTCTCGGCTCAAGTGATCCTCCTGCCTTGGCCTCCCAAAGTGCTGGGATTATAGACATGAGCCACTGCACCTGGCCATGTATTTGATTTAATAATTAAAGCATTTCTTTTCATGTTCAAAGTAACTTATTCATGTAGAATTGATTTTAAAATAGTATGAGGTAGGGATATGCTTTTTCATTCCCAAATGGAATTATCCATGTAGTTTAGTCAATCTGTTCCCATAATCTGCAGTGCCATCTCTGCATATGTCATATTCCTATACATGAATGAAT